TACCCAAACCATTCATTTTCATCTCTTGTTTCTTTCGCCCCCCAACCCGGACTCTACTTTGCCTTTGCCAGACACTAACCCTCCCTATACCATTGGCACTCACACTTTTTCTTTCGGTAACTAATTTTGTTTAAAACCCCTAAAATTTTTGTCAAGACGTGCTGCTCCAATTAAATCCCAGACTTATTGGGCTTCATTCACACCTAGGTGTAGCAGAAACGCGCGTTGCGTTCACACACTTTTGTGCCCGCATTTTTGTTCATTTTCCAAGTTTGCCACACGTCTCCATTGATTTCAGTGGGTATTCGGGTGAGTGCTCGTACTCACCCACATGCTCCGATGCCTAGCCCAATACTTCCATTATTAGATGGCTGATGTCTGATCTGATGTGACGAGGGAGCATAGAGCTTCCCGGCCAATTAGGAAGCCGGGTAGCATGTAATGACTCGCTGCCCGGCTTCCTGATTGGTCAGGAAGCTGGCCAATCAGGAAGCCGGGCGCCATGTCATTACACTGTGCCCAGCTTCCTGATTGGCCAGAAAGCCTGCTCCGTGCTTTCTCATCACCTAGTGACGGGAAGCATGGAGATGGTTTCCCTGCTAATCGGAATGCCGGGTGGCGAGTCTTTACACGCCGCCCAGCTTCCCGGCTAATCAGGAAGCCAGGTGGCGAGTTATTACACGCCGCCTGGCTTCCTTAATGAGACTTCCGGTATCGGCTTTCGGTATCGGCGAGTGCCGCAAAAAAAAAAGATACCGGTATCAGTGCATCCCTACAGAAAATGTTATAAAGTCAGTCACTGTCTAATTTAATAACATACAGGTTCATTGTAGCTTATTTTCTGTACATTGATACATGCCAGTTAATATTAACCCTTTGTGAGCCACGTAGTGCAGGTATGGGGCACACTGTGGCTTGAAGTCCTGGCAGACTGCAGACCGGTCATGCTATTCGATACCATCAATCTCCTTTGAAGAGCTCTGGCCCCCAGTATATTTGTATGTTATGTGCATGCTGGTCCAAAACATCAAAGGGATCGAGCAACGGGCGAGCTGAAAGAAAAGAGAAATACAATTTGTTGAGGAGGAAATTAAAGTGCTTATGCAGCACATTCTGGAAAATTAAAATAAGATTTTTGGACATGCATCAAGTGGCACCTCTGGGAAAGATGAGACTGTGTGAAATTCTGCATGTTGCAAGGCAGACTAACCGCACTGTGTATAAAGAGACGCTCGGGAAACAATTTCAGTCTTCACCTCAAAGAAAAACAAACTGATGGTATGGATTCGGGTAACACTCATTTTACTAGATGCAGTACATAGCACATCAGTATTACTGATAGCAGACATTCTCTTCAAAGCTGGACATACATTGCTCGATTTCTGCTGAATCTGACAAAATTGGAGTTGTGGGTGGCCCTGTCGGCATCGCCTTCATGCTCGACAAAATTGTTTTTTTAGTCGACTTTTCTCATAGGAGCTGGTTTAAAGAATCTCTGTCAGGCGCT